ATACAAGTAGGAAACTTCCATCAAGTCAAAGATCATAGCTTGATAACAAACAAATAAATGTAGTGTGTTACATGTATTTTCACAGCATTCTTGAGATCTCCACTAGCTGATCTTCTCTTCTGTGTAAAGAAGAGAACTATCAACAACTTAATATAATTTGTTTTGCCGTTCCAAAATAATGATTCTATGTATACCTTGACTGCATACAAAAGTAGGGTAAGTTGAGTTCTGTCGTTAAGAAGAACAATGAATTACTAACTAATCGCATAACCTAAGTTTTGCTTGAATGACAAGAAAAAGACAAGAATAGGTCACTTTGAATGAAGAAATTTAAACAAAATAAAAAGGCAGAAGAAAGCACCTTGGTGGTCTCCTCCATTGCTGGATACGTATGAGTTTTGCTCTGCTCTGAAACGTTCAAGTCTCAAGTAGTTAATTATTACATTTACAAGCTTGTTGGAGCGGTGTTACGATGGTGAGTTCGACACGTCAGCTCCACAAGTCATGTCTTCATTATGCCAACATGGCTGCAGCCGCAACCTCTGTTTTTGTGTGTTGTGTCAAGGAGACGTTGGGGCAGGAAGTTCGGTTTATCTAACCTAACCAAACCGTATGTTAGGTATAACCAAACCGAATCGAACAAGACCAACCCGAACACAAGATAACCAGTACCAGGGCTCATCGTTGGTTTACAGAAACAGAAACAGAGACGGTAATCAGCTGATGTTGGTGTTGGTGTTCGCTTATGTGTAAATCATCCGTAAGACTAAGGAATTAGTGAGTACTATCCACAGTTCATTCACTGATTCAAAACTAGAGACTGATATACATAAACAGTTTACGCGATGTTCCACTAGTGTTCCCCGAGTCAAGTGTCCCAAGTATTTTTCAAACTCCATAGTTTGATGTGATATTTTGGTCTAATCAGGAAATCAGATCATATAGTTCTTAATCCGTAGTTTGTCACTGATCATTTTTCGGTTAAGGACCATTGACAACATGGTCTCGAATATCAGGTTTGCCAATGGGACTGATACTTATCCGTGGCTCGAATCATCAGACAAAATGTTTGCTTCGTGCATTAAATATTGAAGTCTGAAGAATTAGTCTTTCCAGTTCTTGCTATATTACGCCATGTTTCGTCAGGTGTGTAATCCAATTGTATACTAAGACTGAAAGATCCAGTGATCGAACATCAAATTTTTCAGATGATAACACTACATTACCAAAACCATATCTACTGAACAAAACAGCTCGTAGAAACTAAACATCAACAGCATTAATTTAACGCCTGACAGATCTGTACAGCAAAGAACATAAATAAACTAGTGTGAAAGAGATCGGTCGGACTTATCAATCTGATGGTCTCTTTGATTCTCCGCTTAGTTCTCTCCGGACAAGCTTCAAGATCTCAATGATCTGCAAAGTCATCAGTATAGTAAATATATACTCTGATGACAAAAAAAAATCAAATCTTAAATGGAAAAAGAGAAGACATGTGTAGCAATAGTGAGAGCTTAGCTTACGCCAGGGTAATGCTTTAGTATTGGAGAGTAATGATCGAGAGCTATATATATTTTCTCAAGAAGATCCAAGAGTAATTCGACCTCATCTCCAAGAAGATCAACCTATGATTCAACAAACCATATAAACATCATTTTTTAATCCAACAGTTTCTTCTTCTGGTAAAAAGGGTATGAATACAATTCTCTCACACTCTACTGCATGTTAATGTAATATACTTATAGAGAACAAAAGAAGCATTCGATGGCTAAGCATGATATGAATCGTTGTTATAGGAGCAATCATGACTCACCTCAGCCTCGGCCTTTTGGAGGTCACTACACTTCTTCTCCAGCCGTTGTTTATGCATCGATTCTTTCACCTTAAGTTCATTGATCTGATGTGACAGATCACTCAATTGACTGTGCATGTTTTTCAACCTAAGAGCAAAGAAAATTCTCATACTGTTATTATCTTCATGATGTTGACCACGAAATAAGTGGAGTACTTTCCTATCTATATCTAAAGGTAACAAAGCAAACAGAGATAAGAGTACCTAGAATTTGTTTTTCGCATCTTTTCTGCCACCAAATCCTCTAGACTGTTGAAACCGTCGATCAATTTAGGAGGAACCAAGTCCAGAGACATAAGTTTCTTTTTAAGTGTCTCTTCCTTTGCTTTTGTGGCTGATAAA